GATATGATTCAAATGAGAACTAATTCCTAGCGTGAGAACCGTGAGAACCGCTATTTTTAATTGTATGTAGTGCTATGATTGATTGTATTTTAGTGCTATTTTTAATCAGGGTGTATTTGATTAAAAATAGCAACACAATATATGTTAACATTTGTAGAAATGATAGCACCATGTAAGATTAAAATAGCATCATACACAATTGAAAGTAGACTTCAATCTAGATAAGAATCCCTACCAGCTATGCTAGTACTTAATCTTTAAGTACGAAAAATCTTTGTAGAAAAAGAGAACCAAAATACAGTTCTTCAGTGGGTCGTAGTGTTGTAAACGAACTGAACCGAACCAAACTCGGGCTGTTTGAGCTTGTGTTCGTTTACGTTCGAACTATTTTCGTGTTCGCTCGTTTATTTTTCGAGCAAAAAATTGTGTTCGAGTTCGTTCGTTTAATTGTTCGTCAAAATTCGAGTGTTCGAATAATTTAATACATAAACTTTTTAAATATGTTTGATTAGCTCAAAATATTGTTCGTTCGAACTCGAAAATTAAAAAATAAAATAAAAATATTTTTATATTTTATATTTTTTACTAAAAATACTATGTAAATATATAAAAAAATAAAATTATATTATATTAAATTAATGTTCGCGAACATTATGAAACGTTCGCGAACGAGCTCGTGTTCGTTCGATTATTAAATGAGCCTAATTTTCTGTTTGAACAAACGAACGAGCTTTTGTTCGCGAATGTTCGGTTCATTTACAGCTCTAAGTGGGTGTAAGAACACTGAAAAACAGTTCACAAAAGAACTCAAATACAAAATTCTCAAACACTCAAAGAAGTCTTCAAAATATGAAGAACGATGTGCAATAGCCTTCAACAGAGTATTTGAGACGATATATATACAATCTTTTTCTACGATGTGCAGTAGCCTTCAACAGAGTTCGGTTCAGTTCGTTTACAACACTACGAACAGAACCGAACTCCGTTGAAGATCTGGTGTGTAACTTATTATCTGGTTTGGCATAAAAGGTGTGCCAAACCAGATAAGGCTACAAGTTATTTTCCTTCATCAAAGTGTCATTTTCGGGACCTTTTGTCAAAATTTACAATTTTCAAACAAAAAACACTTTTAAATAAGACATACAAAAACAAAATATAAAACTAAAGCCAAAAGGCACCATAGACTATCATTGCCTTGCCTAAAAGACCTCGCGTGGCAATATATCCAGCTTATTAGAAAAGTAAAGTTTTATTTTGACATAAGATCTCGGCATGACAATATCCATCTTATTAGAAAAGTGAAGTTTTATTTGACAGAAAATCTCGGCAAAACAAGTGACTGAATTGCATGAAAGATTGAAAAAGAAAAATTCGTTGGACCATGTGAAATCTGAAGTAAAAGTTTGATTATAATCCGAATCAGTCATCAAAGGTGAAGTTACTGATTCAATAGTTCACGTGATCGAACCAATTTAATTAATATATAATTATTATTTATTTTATATGTATAATATATAGTTGTATATTTATTTTATAGTGCATAATAACATTTCTTAATAAGTAAAGGAACAAATAAAAAAAGAATCTTTCATATTTTAATTATTTTAGCGATCATGTCTGATTCCAAGTATAGACTTTTAAATGAATAATGATACAAAATATATGATACAAATAAAAAAAAAATTATGATATAAAAACAAACATTCAAGCACACTATAAAATCTATCTATATAAGGTGAAATCACAATTTTAGTATAATAATAAAAATATATTGGCTGGTAAAATTTATTATATTTAATGGCTTAGTCTTATTTTATTTACCACCAAAGTCAACCCCGTGAGCGTATTGTGTACAAGATTTCCAGCCTTGGCCCATATAAAAATTATAAACATGTTGTCTGCCCATATGCAAGCAAGTGGTCCCGCGAACACACTAAATCTATACTTATATAATAAGGTGTACCATTTACGAAATTTAGTAAGTTGACAAGTCAATGCAATAAATGCATTATTATTTTGAGCAACATAATATAATATCATATCTATACTTATATAAAAGGAGATTCTATTTACTACATTTACTATCCAGAAAAGTCAACTGCATTAAATGTCATTACTATTTTGGTATTATAATATTTTATTTATTTAATTGATTTATTTATTTATTTTATTTTAAAAAGATAAGTATAATAAAAAGATTTTAATAATAAAAAAATTAAATACCAAATAAAAATGTACACTTTGACTTATTTGATTATATTTGGTATTTGATTATACCAAATATATTCCTATTTAGTATATACATTAAATACTTACTAAAGTATTTATTCGTTTTATTTGTCAAAGTTATGTATAGATTTGTTTATATTATCAAATCATAAAAAAATATGTTGATGTCGAAAATTGGACGATCAACCGTAAAAAATAATACGAATTGCTTGTATGAAATTGAAGAACAAAAAATAATTGAGAATAGGTGTATTTTATTACTTTGGAGAGAAATCTCCTTTTTTTGTTGTAGGGGGAGATGAAAAATGGGAAGAGAACCCCTTTCTCTTTCTTCTTTTCACATATATATACATGTTTCACTATTTTTGCAAGTGGACAATAGAATAAACAAAAAATGGTACATTATTTGACTACTGTGAGATTAATCACTGTGGGTCCCGTTTATGACCTTTGACGGCTTCGATTAACGTCTATTTGAGGCGGCTTCTGATTGATCGGTACCGAGAACCTGTTTGTACATTTATTTATTTCGTATTGTCGGCTCATTGATTATCTGACCGTATTTTATTATTTTATTTATTATTTAATTAATCGGAGCCGAATTAGGTATCAACAGGAGGCCCCCGAGTTTAGGACATGTTCTAATTGAACTGTTCTAAAGTCGCGTTTATTCTTGAAAATTTGGCGATGTTTTCACCTCATGATCTTTTGAGCTTTGAGCTCTTTAAATTGCGTAAGAATATTTACGTAACGAGTATCATTGGTGAAGTCGTAAATATGCTGACGAGTACGCGCGTTTAAATAATTTTTGCGTGATTCACGAGATCACTTTTTATCTTGCCAGTTTTCCTTGATTGGCTCTATCACGTGGCTTTTCACTTTTTGTGCCTCATTGGCTTATTTAATCTTTATCGAGTAACTTTGGTTACTCATATCGTTGTTTTGTCGTTTTCTGCTCATTATTTCCTCTCGTGATAGTCACTTTGAGGATTTTTGGGCGAGAGATGCTAATTTTATCACGAGTCATTATGTAATTTTCTGGCGCTTTGGGACCCTGGAGCGTTTTTGTTGATCATTTTCGGCTTTGGCCTGGCGAATTTGTGATAGCGATGCTTTGTTCTTTGTTGAGTTGAGTCGGTTTTGACCGAATGGACGATTTTTCTGAATTTGCTATTGAATGGGGCCCGTGCGGCCTGGTTGGGTAACTTGGTACCCGTTTTTATGCAAGAATGCATTTTGAATTGTCGACATGAGTGAGCTTAGAGCTCTTTGTCTGAGTGAGCTTTGAGCTTTGTGTTTCTTACGAGATGGTATGCATGATGTGATCGTATGAGAATGCGTGAATGTATTATGAATGTATGATGAATGTATGTTATGAATGTATGATGTATGAGGGCATCTTGTCGCGTGTTTAGTTGGGCCGAACTGCTTTGGAGTTCGGTCTTTAGTTTTACGGCATTTCGGCCGAATGGCTCATAGGCCTTTAGTTTTACGGCATTTCGGCCTAATGACCCATAGACCTTTAGTTTTACGGCATTTCGGCCTAATGGCAGTTTTACAGCATTTCGGCCTAATGGCCCATAGGCCTTTAGTTTTACGGCATTTCGGCCTTAATCGATCCCCTTTGTCGAGCCCGGCTTGTGCAATTTATTGCACTAATGATTACGATGCGCGCATTACCCATCCGATCCGCTCGTTGGGTTGAGTGGTGGTATGGCCTGGCTGAGCTTCACGATCGAGCTCGGCACTTATTTATTATATTTTTTACGTTGGCGGATGTGGTCTGACCGAGCTACGTGACTGAGCCCAGCTTATGTCGGCCGGGCCATCGTACTGAACCCGACCTGCACGAATTTATTACTTGGCTGAGCCTCGTGATCGGACTCGGCATTTATTTATTACTTTGGCGCGTTACCTGTCTGACTTGCTCGTTGAATCGGGCGACGGTCTGGCCTTGCTGAGCTTCGCGTTTGAGCTTGTTATTCATTTCTTACATTGGCGACTTTGGCCTTACCGGACTACTTTGCTGAGCCCGGCTCGTGCCGGCCAGGCCATCATACTGACCCGACCTGCACATAGTTACGTGGCAGCTTACCTGACCGGTCTCAAGTTCGGACTCGGTGGTATTATTGGCCTGACCGGGCTTCCTAGTTGACCCCGGCTAGTGCCGGTCGGGTCATCGTACTGATCCCGACCCGCACTTGGTTCCTTACATTAATTACGCCGCTTCGACTCGATCTAAGCCTAAGACGACC